AATTGCAGAAGTTAGTGAAGGCAATTGTGGATGAGGATGATGTTAATTTAGGGACGATTGATAGAGCCCAGCAAATGTTATGTGCTTTGAAAGAATTGAAGGTAAAAGAATCATTATCCTCTTCAAAGATTCATCCTCATCATCATGATACAGTTTCATAGAAGATTCCTGAGAAGCTTAACTGCCCACTTTCCAAAAGAACTCATGAGGGATCCGGTTATTGTTGTTTTTTGGGGTTGAATTTGTGTAGGAACGTTAGGGGTTGATGAGGAGATGGCATTGGTGCAAAAATTAGGTGGCCACGGTGGCCTGAAAATGGTGGCAGGCGGCGATAGGGTGGGGGGGAGTTTTGGGGAGAAGGTGAAGTTTGGTGGGTTATTTGCACTTTTTAAAAAGTTTGGGCTAATAGTTGCAATTTGTTCAATCGTTTTTTTTTTAATTTCAATTGAATGGAGGGTTAAATCGTCAAAACATGGTGAAAAGGACATTCGGTGCACGAAATGTTGAAGGTAATAGCATAAATGTCAAGAAATGAAAGGTAGAGACGATTTTCACAAGGATAATGCTGGAAGTACAGGAGGAATTTTACAGAATCTTTACAGGATTTTAAAGTCTGCTTACGTAGCACTTTTCAAAAATAAAAAAAAAATAAAAGAAAAAAACAATTGACCGGTTGAAACAATGGAAAGCCAGGGAAAACATATCTTTCTCCCACAATTTCACACCTCCATTTTCAGCCATTCCAAAACCTTCATTTTCAGTGGTTGTTGTTCTTTATCCCGGCTCTGAACTCCGATATGTCTCCGACGACCAATTTCTGGAGAAATTTTCACTTCCTCTCCCTCTTTTATGTCCTCTCTTTTGCAGCCTTCAATGAGCTTCAGACCCTTTTAACCATAAAATCTGCCTTTAAAGAGTCGAGGACAAATCACCACTGAAGAACATTTTTTTCCGACTTTACCAAAACATTGCATCGCGAGTCACAAGTGTTTTTTTATTTTTAATTTATGAATTAATTTGATGAGTTGAAGTAATTGAATTTCTGTTTTAAGTGTTGAAAATTAAGGAAACGGAGTGTTTTGTTTGTTTGTATTTGACATCAAATACTGGAGATTGCTTTGTATGCCTATGTTATATACTGGTTTGAAAGAGGGAATTTGGGTGGATTAAAGGATGAATGGCTTGCTTTCATATGCGTACCAGACGGGCAATTGAAGTGGGTTGTGCTTAAATTTTGCTCATTTTATGGTTGTGCTTAACATTTTTGTCTTGTTCAAACAACCAAATAAAGGACGAACTCCATATCTGAGAGAAATGAAGGACGGACTGCAATTTTTTCAAGTATTAAAACTTGGCTGCAACTATGTACAGAGGAGTAAGTCTACACGTATGCGGCGCCAATAGGTTCGTCAGAGGTGGACGATTGTGAAGGATTTAGGTCTCGGTTATGGTGGATGGAACTCGAGATGTTGGTTGGTGAAACCTTTTTTTTGGGGCCGCCGGGAGGTTAGTCGGAGAACAAGTGAGACGTGAAACCTTTTTTTCGACCGCCGGGAGTTTGGTTGGAGAACAAATGAGACGATTTGAAGGCCTGAACTCTCAGTTGTTGTGGGGGAGGGGATTTCAATAGCATTGTGGTTTGGGGATTTTGATATGTTTTCCCTTTAAAAAAAAAAAGCCATATCATCATATTTCAAAATCCTATTAGGTGTCCTGTGAATGCCTTCCTGTACTCCTAGCATTACCCTTTCCACAATACATGTCAAAAGTAGGGACGTTTTGTGCCAATTAACCATAAAACCATTTGTACCGAATTGTCCTTACCGAAAATGTTACACATTCTCACATGTCTATGGGACCCGCGTGAATAAAAAACTTCCAAAAAATATGGTCCCCACACCCTATTATGAGTGTAGGTAAAAAATTACGTAGATGTAACATTGCCCTTTGTTTATAGTCTTTGAAATTTGAAATTTTGGTATTTAATAATTTAAACAGTTCAATCATTGTACAAGAAGTTACTAAATTCCTTTGAGCCCTATATTTTTTTACGAAAAATGTATTTTGAAATAGTAATTTGATAGAGAATGTATAGTTAAAAAATAATAATAATAATTTAGATTTCTGTGTAATATTATTTTTTCGAATAATACGTGATTGAAAATAAAAGAAAAAAATGTATTTTGAAAATAATGAGAATCAAACAAGTGTTAAACATGACGATCTAGTAACAAACAATAAGACTCAACTCAAATTAGTACTTTTTGTGTAGTATAGTTGTAGTTTCTTAATTATTTTTTTTTGTAATATTATAATTTTACGAAAACTATGTTGTAGGCTATAGAACTTTGACGTCTCTTTAGATATTTCGTGTTCACTATTAATTGCACGAGTCAAATAATGAAGATTTTATTTCGTGTCCAAGGATAAATTGCTCTTACGGTCCTCAATTTATAATCGTGTAGACTTCACGCCAAAGTTTTCTTTCAATACCAAACTTCTTAATGTTACATTTTTAAGTGCAAAGATTCCTATTAGAATGGATGGATAAAATAGAGATCATGTCTGATTTCAAGTTAGTGGAAATTTGTAATAAATAAAAATTTAGCATCACAACCTTCAAGATGATTTCAAATGAGTCCCTCTTTGGCCCTCATTTTTTATAATTCATTTTTTTAATAAAATAATTTTACACGTTTCTGCATAACTTTTCTTACTAACTACACCTTCTCCAAGAAAACATTACCTTCTCACAAAATTTATTCTTAAAAAATCTATACCAAACAGGAACGTGGTACGATGATATTGTCCACCAATACAAGACTCATAAAAAGGGCATGCAACTGAAACAAAAGAATTTTACACTCAATGGGCTAGAAATCAGAAAAATAAAACTTGGAGGATAGGAGAAAACTAAAACACTTCTCTTCCCTCATCATCACACTTCCTTGACTGTTCTATACCCAAAATTTCAGAAGAAAATAAAACTTAAAAATAAGAATGACTCATAATGAACGTGTTCAAAGAATTTGACGAAAGTTCATAAAAGAAGTCGAAATCTCTGGAGAAAAGCATGCAACTATATCCACATTCCACAAGTACGTAGATATATCAAGATAATCATAATCAGGAGCGTCGTATACCAATGTAATGGTCAAAATAGGAATTCCGGGGCAGAACATCCTGCTTCAAGGAGTATGTAAATGTCTTAACTGGTCAACTACATCACAGGAACTGCTGAGCCTTTGAATATCAGACCGGTGAAGGACATTTGCTTGGTAGCGATTGAAGCTGTTGGATTTAGTATCCTTAGGCATGAGCTTGCCAGAAATGCTGTAGCGTACACGAACACGGTGATCTATCGTCTCTGTTGAGAAGTTTCCGTGTATTTTAACCACCAAAATGACTTCCTTGTCCCTGGCATCTTCGCACCAACTGTTTTGTGGAACACCATCCACAAATTCCTCCAGCGTTTGGTATTCCTCATAGCAGACTGAAATCTCAGCAATATGACCCGGTTTGATTATTCCTGTTGCCGGATTGACCTGTTCAGATTTAAAACCAAGAAACATTTAGCAAGTTTCCATGGGATTCTTGTTATCCAAAGCTGAAGCTTATTGAATCATTATTTCTACAACAGATCAACAAAAAGTTTTATGTACGCTACATAATCAGCCTAACAAAATCCTGAAAGCCTATGTTTGGCTTATATTTATAAACAGTTTATAGACACTCAAGACACTTTTTATCTACAAATTTCGAGAGACCCCAAGTAAACTCACTTATTCAACCCTCGTGTCTATCTATTTATAATTTAAACCGTTCATAAAGACTTCCCAAACACGCTCTAAGTTCATACATATAAGCCCCCGTTTGATCCACATTAAATTTATAATACATTTTTCTCTCTTCTTTTTAACAACATATTCTCAAATAAAATAATATTACACATAAACCAAAATTTTTTCCTTCTTTTTCAACCACACATTTTCCAAAAAAACACTATTCCAAAAATTATATCAAATAATGGGGGCCAAACGGGGCTAAATGTGTCATCTCCCAAACAGTTTAAACTTTTAGATGAGATGCTTCAACATGTAACGTGAGTAAATAGGCCCTGAGACTAACACGGGGTCCACAACAACTAAGTTGTAGCAAATCTGACAGAGCTAATAATGGCTATTGTTGTGAATGAAAGCACATAAAAACAAAACAGCGTCAAGATACAAATTCGCATTTACTGTTTGTTACTGCCTTTTAACCCTCTTGTATTTTAATTTCAACACTTACCCTATATCAAATGAGCATAGACGGGACATAATTTTTAACAGAAGGCGTCTGAATCTGCAACACACGTCGTACATTCCGTGTGCTATGTGGACCATGATGAACCCAAACCTTGTAGGTTTTCCTTCGATCCAGGTTTAGTCATACATTCTTTATTTATCGGATTACTAATAGGAACCTCAATTTCAAAAGTGCAATCAAGAAATTACCTGAAGCCACCTGGGGAAGCCAAAAGAACCTCTTGTACGATGATCAAATGCTTGTCCATCCTCATTGATGGCAGACTGACCTTCACAAATTATTTCGAACATAGCTATGTCTTTCCCAGATTTATTTGAGATGCGCAATACAGATGTATCCTGATTCTGTAGGATTATATTGTTAGTGCTAACAATTGATTCTGGAACTTCAGATAATTCTTCAAGCAGATGCTTGATTTTCTTGTTTGATCTAACGATTTCACCAAACTCTTGTCTTCTCACTGACTCATCGACTCGGGCAACCTCCACATTGAAAATACAACGGACAGGCTTGTGGTCACTATCTGTCACATCCATGCAAGCTTCATACCTGTGTCAATGATGATGGAGTAACTAATCACTGATTAGAACACATTTATTATGAAGTTCAAAATTTTAGTGCCCATTTAGGTACCAAACAAACCCCATACATTGATTTGAGATATTGATAAGGTCAATACCAGTCTATGGCGGCAATCTTCTTGTCATTCACACTCATATAAAAAGCCATTGTGTTTCACTTCCTAATATGTTACTCTCCCTTACAATATAAAATAAAGGTCTATCATGTTGGTTTTTCGTCCTCACTCAGAATTACGGAAATTCAATTTGATCTTCCATAAACCTTGTTCTTGTAAATCTTAAATAGTCTTCCAAACTAAAAGTAAGCTTCAAACAAATTTAAAATAAATAACTAAATAAATAAACAAGCTTGACCAAAACGAGGTATAATATCATATGGCTATGTCTAATTTACATGTAGCTACATATGCTAAAATAAGTCCATAATTCATGCATAAACACCGTATGTAGTTCCTGTCAAATAATTGTTATTGTAAATTTCTTAATGAAATTATGTACTGTTGTGTACCAGATATATTATATTGATATGTGGAACAAGCTTTGTTCTTTACGATCATATTAGGTATCAGTTAGTATTGCTTAAAGAAAATTGTCAATAAGAGTGACAACTCCATTAGCTAATCATGTGGCATATATTCTCAATGCATTAGTTTACATGTGAAAGAGCAACCCTTCTAAGACAAACTTACTGCAAAATTGAAGATACTACAGGACAGTCCAAGCTGCATGTAGATACTGAAGCTGAACGGCTATCACGATACAAAATTCTGTCACACCAGGCAGGAATTCGCTTCTTTTCACCAGAATCATACCCTTAAAACAGTCATACACAGATTAGATCTCAAAACAAAATGCAAGAAAAGAAATTATCCTAATTATGTTCTGTCAATTAATAAGGATTTCTACAATTGCTATGCGTTTAATTGTCATACAAGAAGATAAATCCGAACACCTACACACAAAATCTCATTTAACTGCTAAATTTTGGCCAACATACCTGCTAAACCAGTTTGGTGTCTTTCAAATTTGTATGTTGGAGGAAATCTGATAATAGCTTCCCGCATCCCTTGGAAGACATTTCCAGCTTTCATTTCAGCTCGTAACTGATCTTTCTCTCTAAGCCAGTCAAAGCATCTTTGAGAAACAAAATCCCTTGCTTCATCATAAGATATACTGTCGAGCCGATAGTTAAAGTCTCCCAGGAATACAACCATGTCCGCCTCAGAAAGCTCTGGTATCCCATCAACGGGATTAATAGCCATAGCCTGTACAGACATCAGTATTAATAACATTAGTCTATTACGTGAAATTTTATCAAAGACACATTGTTCTGGAATAAACAATGGAAGCTGCTACAATGAAATCTAGAGACTAGATAGTAATAGTACCAATTAAAGTATATACGTACATTTGTACTGCGTAGCATATGAATCGCAGATGATACGCCAGCTGCAACAGAAAGGACCAAGGGCAAGCACGAACTATAAACAAGCGGTAATAAATACATTGAGCAGGCAAGCAAGCAACATAACAATAGGTATCGCACCATACCAGCAGCAGCATTAAAAAGGTTAGACGGTCGACTAAAGACCATTGTTTGATATACGTGATCAAAATCAGCATTTCGGCGGCTAACAGCCTCTAAGTGTGCAGCAAAGTGACAGTTCACAAAGCACATTACCCGATCATACACTCTCATTCTCAAACCAACCGCTCCCTGCGCAGAGGAACTTAGCCAAATTAACAATATAGACAGAAAAAATGCGTTATACAAACAAAAAGCATACTATGCATGGACCTATTCAATGAAAAACCAATGCAGTTCTACAGCAGATAATTGTGTGCACTTTTGCACCTCCAATATGAAGGACCAACCCCAAAAATTAGACTAAGGTGAAGTGTATCACAAAGAGTCGCAAATGATACTGCAAAAGTAGATGATCAAGAGGATTTACATATCTATATTATCTATAACAATAATAAAGAAAAAGATTCCATTATACTTGAATATAAAGGTACTTAAACTGGTGGGAATTCTAGAGGCGATTATATTTTACAGCTATAAAAGGTAGTCAATTTCCATAAATCATTGTCAATAAATCATTATATGACATCAATAGTTGCTAATTCATACTAAAAATGTTGCAATATCATAAAAAGATATATAGTTGATATATTACGTTTTAATTTGTTACTTGTCAACTTAAGCCTACCTAAAAAAAAAAACCAATTTATACTAAAGTTTTTGAAGTTGATTCACGATCATCTATTAGAGTGGACAAACAAAATAATACCTTATTACCAATAGCACGCCCCAGACCACAAGGAACTGCTGCAACATCAATATCTCCAACATGGCCTCGAATATTGACTCTAACCCTAAAAGATAATATTTGTTTATTAGAGATTGAAACTATACATCATGAGAAGTCCTATTAAGAGCCAATGACAGAAGGTACATGCATGCGAAATACTTTTTTGCCAGACTTGCTTTATGGAGGGTTTAGTTTTCCACATCATTTAGTGCTTGTTTGCCTTTCATTATAGTCTCCTTATAATTTAAAGGTCAAAGTCAGACTTTGATTTTAACCGACCCACAACTACTACGTACTTATCCACCACTTATTTCTATCACACTATTACTTGTTACTAATGAAAAAGCACTTATGTGTTACAGAAAAGGAAGTGGACAAATCATAACAAGAAGGGTAAACTGAAGTCGATATAGCACGCGCATATACATTCCATCCAAATGGAATCGCTATCATTTATGCAGCCCTCAAAACAAGCAGAAAGGTTTAAATGAAGTAATCAACAATATTTCTCAAAATGAAGGGGAAAGTAGAACACTGAGAAACAAAAGAACATAGGTTTGTAATCCCAAATTGCGCTTTCCAAAACAAACTTGAGAAGGGAAACCTTTATCAAGGCAATCAAAAGCAGAGAAAACTTATTTAAATTGCAGGTGCAGCATGATTTATTAAGACTAGAAGTTCAAAAACACATCCCATTTATGTTCAACTTCTAAATTATAGGATCGAACGCTAATATTCCATGTGCAATGCAATACTAACCACACAGCGATAAGCAAGCCTGCCAACTGTCTGGAGCCAACGCGTGAAAAAGTAGCCCCTTCATCCAAGGTTTTCCCTATCATGTCTATCCACCACTGCCCTGCAGCACTACCCTCAAGACCCATCTGCATTTAATGCATTTTTATATTAATATGGCAACGTTCAACTCAATCATCCCAAATTAGAAAAGAAAAAAGACAGAATCAAAGAACACACACACACACACATATTATCTTCAGCAATTAACGGTTTCAAAGAATTAACTAACAAACTGGCAAGGAAAAGTAATTGATGATTTGATCATTCCAAGTATAACAAATATCCAATGCAATTATGTTTAAAGTTTAGAGTTGAAGACAACCCCCCATTTGATGCATATGCATCACAATAATTATCTGGGATGCACAAATATGCACATCTACTGGTACCGATATCAACAGCAGTCACTTGCACACAGAAATAGTTCTTTTACTATTCAAAAGTTTGCATGCAGAACATATCTTATACTTAAAAAGTTTCTGAACCGATAGTATGCCCAAAATCATTTATTAATATCTCCTTGACCTCGTGAAAACATGAAGATTTACCACAAAAACAGAAAAATAAAAAATAAAATAGTGAAAGAAAAGAGGTGTTTTACAGTTTCTTTAGCAGCAGACACTGCTAGAAAACCAGCACCCATTTCTACTTCCTGCAACCCGACGACGACGATATCAATGTCTGCAGCTGCAGAACCTAGCCATGATATAAGGGAATCAGGAGATGCTCTTCCTTGTCCAACATTCCATGTTCCAGCCAATATTTTCAAATTCTCCAGCCTGGTATACAAAAACTCCTTCCCAGCCAACTCTGAACGCAGTATATTATCAAGTGGTCCAGGAGTAGTAATGCTCCATCCACGTATACCACCATGGTTAGCCAAGGTGAAAACATAACCAGCTCCAACAGCTAAATCTATCAACGTACTACTATGAGCCACCCATCCTCCAAGTAAATTGCCGGTTAGATCCAACACTTGCATGTGCCCACTTACATAACCTACGCATATTCGTGACCCAAATGTGCAAAGGCACTGAACAGCAAAAGGAAGATACTGGAATTCTTGCAAGCGATTGCCATTTCCGTCCCACTGCACAAGTAATCCATTTGAGAATCCAGTCCAAACCATTCCATCAATTGTAGTGACCAATGCTTCAGTTCGTCGATTATCATCTCCAAAAGCTCCTTTTGCTGCAACTCGGCGAACAGCATCTGCTGCTCCTAATATGGCATTACGGGAACGCTGAAAAAAATTGAACGAGTTTTGTGGCTTCTCCTTCAAACCAGATACAAACTTCATTCTCACTTCTTCCTCCATTAGAGAATCTTGCATTGATGACATGTTTTCAATCTGACCATCTATGTTGAACAGTTTCAGGAATTCCCTTGTTCGAGCATCCCTGTGAAAAAGAACATCGAGATAATGAAACCTGGTAAAAATAATTGAAGGACTAGAAAGACAGTCCAACAACAAGCAATCTAGAACTAACAGAAGACGAATAAGAATCTTATCATGTAATGGCCCTGATTCCTTCTGATAAGTGATAACCCAATAATTTTATTTTTACATTCTTATAATGCCCCCGTTTGGCCCCCATTATTCCAAATTAAAATGAGAAGAATAGTAATTTTTTGGAGAATGTGTGGTTAAAAAAAGGAAATATTTTTGGATTTACGTGTAATATTATTTTATTGGAGAATGTGTGGTTGATAAAAAGAGAGAGAAAAATGAATTATAATTTAATGGGGAATAATGGGGGACAAACGGGGGCAATATATAAGCTTCACATATACCAAGAAATTGTTGTTAAGTAGAGTGTGTTAAGAAACGTGAAAGTAAGAACTCTCAAGATGCAAAATGACACTGTCATACACAACAAAAGAGTAGTGCACCTTGAAGACTATCCTTATAAATCATACTTCCTAAAGCCATATTATGTTGGTGAATGATGCTGTGTAAACACCAAACTTAAGGATTTACACCGCTTGGTATGTCCAAGAAGACTTGTGTATGAGTGAATGCAAATATGTCCGTGTGAGCATATCGTTTAGTATTTGAAGAAACAATCTTATTTCTGCACAAGCTATTAACCATGCACAAATGAATTGATTGCATTCTCAAACTTCAGTAAACTCTTAAGTTTCAGATTAAGGTTGCACTGTCGAGAATTAATAGAATAGCACAGATGTAAATATTAGATCTCATCTGGATCCAGAACAACTCGATTCAAGCTTACCACATTGCAAATGACATATAGCCAGCACTCCAGACCTTTGCTCCACAATAATCTGATATCATAAACTTGACATCTGAAGTGAACATGTTATTACAGGAACCAACACCATTTAGTGCAGCTTGGCTCCTCAGATCAATATATGACCTCTCTACTAGTAAAGCAGCCATATGCCTTTCTCCAATTGTTAGGGAGAGGGATTTTTCAATAGCTTCCCAAGGCCAGACCTTAATTGCACCACCCTCAGATCCCGACCATAAGTCCCCTAGATCAAAGAAAAAACTTAGAGAAAAAGATCATATTGTCTATAATATTAGCTAATACAGTATAAAATTTGGCATTGTTTATTGAGATTTCAATACCACAAGAATTGCAAGAAAAAAGGAAAAAGATGCCCATGCAATCATGATAGAATTGACAGTAAGAATAGAATTCCAAGAAAAAGTTGTTGAAATTCCCAGGCAAAGCTGAAGAGCACCAAATGGTTGAGAATGTGGCAATAAAAGAACATCATGTGCATTGATGCACGGTAATAGAGTTATCCATATTCTTGAACAACTATATTTTACTCTTATACAAATGAAGTTTATGAAGGCACCAGAAAAGGGTGCACAACCCAAATACACTATCAAAGCATTTTCGAGCCTTTCTAATAAAACATTTTCATCAATTACGCTGATAGCAGTCATGAGCCTTACTTATGCTCAAGGATCCAAAGAAAGAATCTTAGCCTTCCCATTAAAGAACCTTTGGTTAAATCTTCCTAATAGACTTAAATCAAAGTCTGACGCACTCAATTCTCATACTAAACGTTAAGATCAATGTTCTGCTGACATTCCTTTGCTACTCGTTGGCATGCATAACGCGTTCAATTACCAGACCTCATAATAAAGATAATCCAGAAAAGAAAAGGAACCTAAATAACCAACAAACTAAAATCAATTTTTTACTTGCCCCAACAATAATATCGTCAGTCCCAAAAACTTTTGAGAATATGTTTCACTACAAAAAATATCCTAAAAATTGAAGAAGTTATCATCAGTCACCTCTCGCCCTAAACTAAATCAGAGTCAGGATTCAGTAAGAATTTGAATGCACTCATGTCGTCCTTTACCATGGATGTAATCAAAATGGATGAGATACAAAAAATTACTAGAAAATCCAAGATAGTGAGATACCATAATACGTCATGGTCATGGAGAGAACCGGCCCACGATGCGCCTGCCATGAGAGTGCCTCTTTGAACCCACTTCTATTACCAGTATCATTCCCATTTCCATTAAAATCCATCATCTTCCAACACCTAATCCTCCCATCTTTATGCCCACTCCACACAACTCTATTCCCAGCATCCCCAACCACACACATCGTGGCTGGGCACTGTACAGACACCCAATACCTCACCGTCCCCTCCTCCTCCCCTTCCTCCGCCCCACAACCATATATCTCATTCTTCAAATCCCAAACACGGATTCCACACTCCGAACCAGCCCATAACTGCGGTCCACTATCATCATTTACACAAACAATGTTCCTCAAAAAACACCCCACTTGGGTTTCTCTCGACGGGTGTGGCCTTATCTCCAGACTTGGCGGCCGGCCCGGGTGCACAGGGGCCCTCAACGGCGGCTTAAACACTCCACTCCCCCCACCGGTCCCAATAAACTCCGGCAACGGCTTGTTCTTACTAGTATCCGGTGATGACGAAGAAGAAAGCTTCCTATCAAGAAATTGGATCATGTAATCCAGCCGTTTCTGAACAGAATCATTCTGCGATGATCCGCTGACGCCATCATCCTCATCCTCAGATGAGGATGAGTTGTAAAACCGGTCGAAAACTTTCGGGGTTTTTTGGTGATTTGACGAGGCTTCATCATGGCTGAATCTCGTGGTGTTAGTATTGTTTCTAACTTCATCTTCGTCGTCGTCATCGGAATTGACAGTAAACTTCTCAGAGTAAGAGCGGAAATTGCGGCTATGGTGAGAATTTGTGGGGAATAATTCATCGTCGATCTGACCGTCCATTGTTGTATGAAGTAATTACGAAAAAATCTTGAATTCTTACGAAATTTTCGGACAGAGAAACTTAGCCGAAAGAAATGGAGATTTTTTTATGTTTTTCTTTCCATTTCTTTCTGTGTTGTTTTGTCGTGGGTTGGGCCGCCGTCGGTTTTGGGAAAATTTCATTGTCGGTCACCCAACTTACGAGTTTATAGTAGCTTGATCACCTCACTTTTTAATCGATGATTTTGTTGTTATTGAAAAGATAGAATTTCCGACCTTCGTATTACCACGCAATTTTTTTTTGTGCGTGGGAAAGATGATAAATTTCATGTTTCAGGTTACGAATTTAATAACCAGTTCACGACTGTAGTTTTAAAAGAGGTTATAGCTAAAGTATTTAAATTGAAATAAAAATATGAGTTGAGTGATCAATATTAAAGAAATCTGTACGTTTGGGGACCTCCAGTGTAATTTACAAAGAGTCTGCCATGGGCGGTCTACCTGTCCCACTGTCCACTATTCACCAACCATTGAATTTGTTATTCCATTATTTATGTCAATATCTTCAATAATTGGGTAAAATAATGCACCCAATTTGATTATAATTCATGTTATAAATTTGGAATAAAGTTTGTTGTTTTATTTATTTATTATTATTTTTTTTTGGAGAAATATAAGGAGAAGATAAAAATTGTGTATATGTTTATTACAAAATTTTAAATGTAATTGTCGAATATCATTATCTGTCTCTAACTTATATTAGCTTTTGTTAGCATAAATTCAGGTGACTTGATTTATTAATTGTTTTCATAATTGTATTGTGATGTTGAATACTATGCACTAAAAGCTTCGTCACAATATTCTCGATATCATATTTAATGCATTTTAAATGTTAGAGGTATGTGTAATATACTGTCATAACCAACACTTGACACTAAAATAAATAGGGTTTAACCCGTTCTTGTTCTATAATATTGTTTAGCATTTGGGTGCACCTTACCAAATATATGTAAGGGATACAAATTTTAAATAACATATGTGGTTATTTGATAGAAAGGCTTATAGAAACCCGTGTTAGAAGCCCTCAATATCATTTAGTTTTTAGCTATGGGTACCGAGTGGATTGTTTTCATAAAGAGTAATACTATGTAATTTCACTGGGGTTGTAATCTCAATTTATGTGGCTCTAAATGATATGCTAAATGAAAGATAAAATTAAATGATTTATTTAATTTCACATATTATTTAATGTCACATTAACATCACATAGATTGAAGTTGTAATCCCAATAGGACTAAATATCATTACTCTTTCATAAATCTTTAATTCTTGAAATTGAATTGACTAAACATGTATGGCTTGGAATATGACAAAAGAAGAAGGAGATTTAATTATAAGTGATAGAATATTTCAAATTGATACGAGACCTTTTGAGTGAAAGTCCGAGAAAAAAATCGTGCGAACAAAGCCCCTATTTGATAACCGTTCTTTTCAAGTTCTTTTTNTGCAATTTGTTTTTTATTTTTTTTTAATTTTTCTTTTTTTTTTTTTTTTCACTCTCATTTTCAACCACATATTCAACAATTAAAATATTTTGCAAGTAAACCCAAAATTTTTCCTACATTTTTTCAAATTTTTTTTTTTTCACTCTCATTTTCAACCACATATTCAACTATTAAAATATTCTGCACGTAAATAGACTTGAATGTTACATAGCTACCCTCAAACAACATGCTCATAATGTCTACTTCTATACTTAGAAGCAAACTTTTTGTGCTTAATGGTCCATGTTTCATGTCATAACTTGAGTGTTCGACAACTTTGCTTGTCAAACATGTTTTAGGCCAATGAACACTTCGATAGTGATTCAGTGATTGGCACATTCTCATTAATAAATTTTGACATATGACGTGTCCCACTTTAACATAAATTTACAATTAATTTCCCCTTTTTCCCTTTTTTGTTGTTAATATTTGTTTTAGAACTAATTACCATTTGAAACGTCCGCAATTTTTTCCTTTTTTTTAATATTATATTCTAAGGATCTCAACGTAAAACATTAAGGTCCCGTTTGGTAGAGATTAAAATTCAATTAAAATTGAAAATATAGTCGTTATTGAGTCTCACTCGTCTAATAAAAGTCAACAATAACGGGTAATTTTTCAATTTTAATCCGATTTTAATCTCTACCGAACGGACCCTAAAAGTAATTTGCACGGACCAGTGTAGCGAGCCACGGTCCAGAAGGAGCCAAGTCTGTATCAGCTCATGATTCAAAATTAATTAAGCTGACCAATTCAAAAAAATTCTGGCTTCTTCTTATGATTTTAATAATTTGAAGTCAAAAACAAGTATATTAAAAAAAAAAACTAAAGATGGGCTCCACAATTAATTATAATAAATCAAGATGGTTGGCTGCAAACGTGCATCCAAATATCCATATGCATAATTAATTATTATTTGTCCCCTTAAATTATCGAGATTATCACCAAGCTAGAATCAGAAATGGGCTTATCTGGACTAATTGAATAGTTGATGGATTATGATGAGAATAACTTTCGACATTTTTCACGAATACACGAATAGCATCAAACAATATTAAGAAAGAAAAAGAAACTAAAAATGCACGGCTTCACCATACAGCTAAGCTATATACCAAAAATATCTGTTTGTGTTTTGGCTTCCCAAGGCAAATACCTATCTAAAATTTAAACCCAATAAAACTCACTCATTTGTTACACAAGGCTACGAGGCATCCAAAACAGGAACATCCACACAATAGCTGCTAATTCTATTCCATCCCATATACATCATGTCATGTCACATCATCCACCAGCAATATTCATATTTCACGTCACGTCGTCCACCAGCGATGTTCATTTAACTTAACCATGAAAAAAGATAAAGAACAGTGACGAAGATAGAATTATACGACCAATGGAGAAAAAATACACAATGCATGCATCACCAGTTACTCCACAAAAGGAACGATTAGCTCTGAATTACCTCTCAGGGAATCCCTCTCGTAGTTCCCTACGCCACCAACAATGTGTTCAATTGCCTACTAAAAAGATCTGCAAGTGCTCCACGTACATCCATCTGGAATATAGGACAACTTATGAGAAATCAAGATTGTCTTGAAAGATTTAACTATCAATACTCAATAACACTTCTTATCAACTTAGCTTGTTGCTTGACAAGAACAGAAAAATTACTTACTATTCTTTTTGGATAGAGTAAATTGTAATGGTTATAAATAGTCATTCTGGGAGCGGAGTTTACCTAAAAGCATAAATAAACCCTCGCACACTGTATTTGCATTTTCAACAAGTACTTGAGTTTCTGCCAATATACTTCTACTCCTAAGAACGAGGAAAACATCATGAATTAAAATTTTTTAAACCTAGGATCTTCATGCAGTCACTAAAAAGATAAAGCCTGGCATTATTGTCCTTTAATACATAACAGAGCAACACCTTCACTTCATTTCTTTATATTCCTTTCTAGAAATTCCTTCCACAGCTTACGTGGAAGTCAGATGCAGGTTTCAGGCGAGTCAATTCCCCACACCTGTGATGAATACCCACTGAATACTGTTTTTGACAATATTAAAACTAGTTATTTTATTCAAAATCAAAAATATTTGATATCTTGTTTAACTAAGCAATCGGAACTTTTGACATACATCTTCCAACTAAGGCGCAACGTGCAAGAGCCTACAATGATCAAAAGCAGCCATCGGACTTCTCAGAAAATAGCATGTCCAAAAACAAAATGCAATCTGCATTGTTCATCTTCTCGTCTAGCATCATGCCAGTAATTCCCTTGTAGTCTCACCATTTCTCTATTAATACATGTGAACGCACAGGTCTGGTATGAAACAGGACAAGAAAAGGACAATATCAACATATTAACTAGTTATGAGCTCCTATAATACTCTTCAAGCCTGTGTCCGTCTAACATTATTAGTAACTTAAAAGTTACTTCTACTACCCAATCAAAAATCAAACTTTAATTTCAACCACACATTCAAAACTACTACTCATTATTATCCGCACGTTTCTTGGCCCCCACCGCTATTCCTCCTAAAAAGTTACTATCAATCCCGACCAAAGGCCAGATGAACTTTTCTTTTCCTTTTTCCATAATAGAGGATAGCCAGCATGCTGTATAATGGCATCCACTTGCAACTAAAGGGGAACTGTTGCAATACGCGAAATTGCAGGTGTACAAAGAAGGGGAAAATGCAACATTTCATATATTTCATACCTTGACAATAATCGGAGATCGTAGTTCTAGAACTCGATGAATATCCATATTAGTTGTACCTTCCGTGCTAGATTTGAAATCAGATGCCTCCCTCAGAACCTGTTCGCAAAAAGACACAATCTTTTCTTCAGCTACTCCTTGAAGTTTATCTTCTTTGACATGTCCCACTTTTTGATTATTAACTGTTGCTGTTGTCTTGTGTAAGATATCCAGATAGATGCATGTTCCAGCTAACTCCTGGCGAAGAAGATTCGGTGGTGGTCTGTCCAGCAAAAACTCGATCATCACAAAGAGGCATGTGGCTTGGAAGTAACAAACTCAAAATCAAGGGGAAAAAAAATGGATTATAAATTACAAATATTCCGGCCAACCTTTCAGCGGGAATTTGGTGCATCCGCAATCTGAGGTTAGTATACGAGTTGTACGAGGAGGCACACTCTAAGACGGAGAACAAAATGTCCATTATGGTGATCTTCTGTGATGCATTCAATTTATTCCAGTATTTCTTCTGCAAGTTAGAAACATATCAATGAAAATATTTTATCTAGACTTCCAAGATAGCAAAATGCAATCATAATGTACTCTTGAAACCAATCATACTGAGAATTTTCTCATTCCAAGTTCAATTTGTGGCATTTTATTCAATCTTAAAAGTTATATTTTTAAAGACAGACTATATTTCACTAAATATTGAACTTGCCACGATTAATGGGAATGCTGATGTGAAAAATGGGTAAGAAAGAAAGGTAAAC